TCTAATGTCTCTCCTTTGTGGGGCAGGAGAGATAGTGCAGCGATTAAGGCGTCTGCCTTACATCCCACTAAAACCAGTAAGATGCCCGGCACTGCATCTGGGCAGTCACCTGAGCACTGCTGGGGTTCACTCCTGAGCACTAAGCCATGAGAAGCTCTGAGCACCACCGCTAGGCATAGCCCAAACCCTCCTCCCCAAAATAAAACCTTTGGCAAATCCACGTTCTGGGAGCCAGGGTAGCTCATGGTAGAGCACACGAGACGCTACATTTGATCCCAGAAAACAAACAGAAATGACCGACTGTGCACCCCGCTGGTCCCTGATTTTTCTTTTATGTTTTTGATCTCTGAAATCTGAAACAATACTTTTTTCCCAGAGCACAACTGAGATGACTTAGAATACCGTTCTACAATCCAGCGGTCAACTTGTGTTCCAGACCTCAATCTGAATGCTCCGGAATCCCCAGAAGGGCTCGCTACGAGAAATAGGAAGTTGGGGCTGGAGCAACAGCACAGTGGGTAGGGCGTTTGCCTTGCACGTGGCCACTCCGGGTTCGATCCCCAGCATCCCATACAGCCCCCCAGCACTGCCAGGATTAATTCCTGAGTGCAGAGCCAGGAGTAACCCCTGAGCATCGCCGGGTGTGACCCAAAAAGCGGGGGGAGCGGTCAAAACAAGAAGCTAACACGCACTGTCTTCTGAGTCACAAACAAGAGCACACCCAGAAGTGGAAGTTAGAAGCATCCTTCCTCACGTAGAATATTACACCAGCCAAATCATTCTAAAATAAAAAATGAATTGAACATGTTAATACACTTTGAAGCCGCTCTTATTCTGAACATGCAAAGCTCTTTCATTAGAAATGCTGGTGGTCGGGCACGGGCCTTGCCTGTGAGAGGCCAGGGCTCCCTCGCAAGTACCCCCAGAATTAAAAGAGAAAGAAATGTTTTCACAACTATGCCCGTTTCTGAGAGCAAATACTTTTCCTCTTACTGGGGCAGTTTTTCTTTCTCAGCAAGGCAGCCCCACAAAAGCCAAAGCTGAAGAGGAAAATAACCATCCCATAAAATAAATGGCCATTACTCCCTACCATACCTAGCATAATAAATTCATCCACTTGCTCCAGAACTGAAATTGGGAGAAACATGAGTTTTAATCTTCACATTCCACTTTATTAATTTCCCTATTACAGCATCTGCCTGAATAAATAATCACTACTTTGGCCTTATAATTTGGCGGGGACACCCACCTCTCCAAGCAAAGGAAAAACAACATTTCTGATGGCTCATTCAAATGGAAAAGCCATATATCAGAAGATACTGTGTAAAACCACAGAGCCGGTGATGGAAAGCACAGTTTGGCAGAATACATTTAATTAGGTTTGGCTCTTTCAAACATTAACTACTCAGTTATAACCACATTACAGCTTTGTCTTAAAAACACACACACACACACACACACACACACACACACACACACACACACACTCCTCCAGGCTAGAGCCTTCAGAAAGCAAAGACTTTCTTGCTTCAGCCTTGTTTAGGCAATAGGGCAATGAAAATATTGGGGCCAGAGAGAGAGTTTAATGGTCTGAGCACACGCAATGAATATTTGCATGCCAGTGACCTAGTCCAATTCTCAACATGGTATCCCCAACCCCACCCCAGAAGAGACAAGGGAAGCACCGAGGACCACTGTAAGCGGCCTTAGAAAAAAGAATCAGAAGAAAATCCAAGTATTCAATTCTCAACACAATTCTCTTGGTGACTTTCTGCAGTCTCTTCTATATGCGAAATACTGGGTTTATTCTCATCATTTTATATTAAAAATATGAAGTTAAAAATCATTAGAAATCGGGGCTGGAGAGATAGCACAGTGGGTAGGGCGTTTGCCTTGCACGCGGCCGACCCAGGTTCGATTTCCAGCATCCCATATGATCCCCTGAGCACTCGCAGGAGTGATTCCTGAGTGCAAAGTCAGGAGTAACCCCTGAGCATCACCAGGTGTGACCCAAAAAGCAAAAAAAAAAAAAAAAAAATCATTAAAATTCAAAGGCACTTACTCTTCTATTTATTTTGAGAAAGAGTTGACTTTGGTGGTGAAGGATGTAGGTCCCCCCAGAGATGCTCAGAGGCCCGGTGGGGTGGGGGTGGGGGGCTCATGCGAGGGTCTGAGGACGCAGTGCTGGACTGTGAGGAGCTGGCCACAGCCTCAGTACCACCACTACACAGGGTTGTGGATGAAAACAAAGAAGGACTAGAACGGAAAGGTGCGTGGGGACCAGAGCGACAGCACAGCGGGGAGGGCGCTTGCCTTGTGCACGGCTGACCCAAGTTCAATCCCCGGTATCCCATATGATCCCTCAAGCCCTGCCAGGAGTGACTCCTGAGCACTGTCAGGTGTGCCCAAAAACCAAACAAATAAACAAACCAATGTACAAGAGACCTTCCCAAATGAAACGACAGTTAGCGGGGTTACAGCAGGACCCACCTGTGACAGAGTAAATCTCTTCCTAAACTCGGATATTTAAAGTCCAACCCTGCTAGGCCCCAGGAAGTGAGGCTTAGGGGTGCTTTGTTCTCAATGAGGTCCTGCAAGGAGAGGCCCAGGAGGAGAGCAGTCTTGGCAGGGGAGGGAGAGACACTGGGAGCCTTCCGCTTCGTTCTGTGAGACCACCCTCTCCCGCGAGCACCTACGCTGTCTGGGGCTAAGCTCACACTGTCGTCCTGCCCCAGGGCTGCTTTCACGCCAGCCACAGGCTGTGCCACCTGATCCCACCCTCTCCGCTGCCTCTCCTTCCCCATCACCATACTCCAACACCCAGAGACATGCAGGTCTCTGATAACTGGCTCTGGAAAACCTCTCTCCCAGGGACAAGTGCTTCTAGACGGAAGACTATCAGTTTTGCCCAACTCACATGAAACAAGAATACCAATATTGCTGATATTTGACGAAACACTGGAAATATTTATTAAACTTTTGGCGGAGTCAGCACCACGTCTTTAACATCTTCTTTGGCTCCTTTTGTAGAGGGCTTCGAAACACAATCTCTTTGGAACGAGTGGTGAGTAAGAAAAGGTCCCACAGTCATGGCTGTCAGGGAACGCTCCTTCGGGAAGAAAGGAGACATCTCTGGTGGGCAATGTCTAACAATCAAACTTTCCTTTCTGACCGTCGTGGGCCAAGTTCTGCACCCCATAAAAACAGAGGCCAGTTGGAAAAAGAGCAGACACACGGCTGATGTATTCACCTCAGTCAGTTCAAAACATTTTCTTACATAAATCTCCATTTGAGCAAACCCAAAAGATGGAACATTTTTTAACTGTTTGATTGGCTTACACAAACATCTCAAAGATTTTTCTCATCAGCACCGTCACCTGATTTGATTTACTTTCTTTCAAATAGCTTTGATCATAATTAACAAGAGAACAGCAGCTCTGGGTGCAGGGGACGAAAGTCATTTACACAGGATGCTGGGCAGTTTTAGAAGTGAGTTTATACACAATAGGTCAGGGTCCCACCATAACACCGTACAAACCAAACGTTTTCAATTCATCACCTTTATTATCTACACGAGCGAGAACTCTAACACTGATGAACCTATAAGGCCACACCAGGATGGGGAAGCTCCATCCCACATTATCTGCTGCTGAAGGGCCACCTCTGGGACCCTCACTGATCCGTACATTTCCAAGAGACCAAGGCACAGTTCAATGGCAGAGGGTAAGCCTTGCACAATGGAGCCCTACTGTGCTTTAGAACATCTGGCAGCCACCACACAGCCCTCTAAACAGATTCCATTTTCAAGATTTTAATCCACATTAGAGTACATTAGATTTAATCTACATTAGAACCAGAACAAATGCAGCAAGAATTTTATGAACTTTTTTCTTGAAAAGGGAATCTTACGCTGCAATAAATGTAATCACCAGAGAAGGAAGCAGGTGGAGGAGGGGAGAAAGGGCACCACGCTCAGGCTGGTCATGAAAAGTTCACTGGAACTTTGGGAGTAGATAAGGAGAGACTGTAGTCTCACACACACACACACACACACACACAGACTGTATTCACTCAGAGATTAGGTGCACCAGACTGCATTCCTACACAATCTGTACTTAGAGGCTGCAGTCACACCAGACACTAGTCACACAGACTCTATCCATGTCATGACCATAGTCACATGGAGAGACAGTGTTCACAGAGACTGTAGTCACACACACACACACACACACACACACACACACACACACACACAGACTATCACATACAGACTATTCACATACACAAAATGTATTCAGACACAGAGACTATTCGCAGAGACCTCATTCACACCTAGAACCTAGCTGCACAGGGACTGTAGTCACACACAGAAACTACACCCACACAGAGACTGTATCCATACAGAGACTGTATCCACACAGGCTGTAGTCACACAGAGACTGTATCCAGAGACTGCATCCATACAGAGACTATATCCACACAGACTGTATCCACACACAGAGACTGTATCCACACAGACTGTAGTCACACACAGAGACTGTATCCACAGAGACTGTATCCAGAGACTGTATCCATATAGAGACTGTATCCACCCAGACTGTACTCACACACAGAAACTGTATCCACACAGACTGTGTTACACATAGAGACAATGTCACACAGACTGCAGACACACTCACAGGTTGTACTTCAGAGATGGTACTCACATACAGAGCCTCCACTCACACACAGACCATGCTCACACATACAGACCGTATCTCCAACATTTGTGCAGTCCTATAAACCAACGAAAATCAACACAATCTTCATTTCTTTTTTAATACAAGGAAAAGGATGCCTTCCAGTGACACCATCTTCCCCATCGCTGGCACATGCTTTACTGCCTCCACTGCTCACATTCAACAGCAGATTCGGTATAAAGCAACGTCAGCCACGAGATAACATATCAGACAAAACTCCTGCACACCACACAAATGGGAAACACATCTGACAGGGCTTACTTGCTACTCCAGAGGCGAGTCCGTAAAGCAGTCCTCCCGCGTCTGACTGCTGAGGTAAGACGTGTGCACCTGGAGGAGGCGGCTTTTCTTGTCTGATGAAGTTATACAGTAAGGTTTTCACAAGTTTGCTGGTGTACGGAAGACTGCGCAGAGGAAAAAAAGAAAATCAAACGCCTATCTATGGGCGCCACCCAATTTCATATAGTGACAAATATAGGCTATGCAGTCTAATAATATAAAGGGGTTCACACAGCTAAAAGTCATGGAGCATTATCAAGTAAGAGTGAAGAGCAGGAAATCTGAGATCAGACCTGAGGGAAGATTCTGGTTTTCCTCTTACTGGGTCAGTAAGTCACTGTGGTCGGGCTGGGGGGGAAGGAGCCCCGCGCCCACTGCTGGTGGGAAGGGTTTCTCCACGTGGAGACCTGCCGCAATACGAAGAACTGAGCTTCCACCTGGCCCAGTCATTTCCCTTCTTGGCTTCTCTTGGCTCCATGGGCCCAAAACACTTCTTCAAAGAGACACCTGACTCCTCTGCTCACTGCAGCACTATTCACAGTAACCAAGATCTGGAAACAACCCGGGCCCAAGGGCAGGCGAACAGAAACTGTGTATGCATACACAGTGGGATGCTACTCAGCTACACGAGGAAACCATGCAGTTCAGTGAAGTAGGGATGGACGTCGGGGCTGTTCTGTTAAGGGGAGTCAGTCAGAGACAGAGGGACAAATGCAGAATAATCTCTGTATGAGAGGCACATAAAGAAATACATGAAGAGAATAACAAACGGCCCCGAGGGCCTGCAGAACTGAGTGTGCTCAGGGGCAGGGCTGGGGCGTGGGAGTGGATGTCACACACCACTGGTGGAGGAGAGTGGAAGAGGAAATGCCCGAAGCTCGAATACTAACAGTACTGTCGATCATGGTTCCTAAATAAAAACTGCAAAATAATATTTCACTGGGAAACTGTAGGATTTCATGTTAAATGCTTTTCAAATTTTTTTTGTTGGCTTGTTTTTCTTTTACTCATTGCTTGTTTGTTTTATTTGCTTTGGAGGTGGGGGCTGTTGTTTTGATTCCTTGCTTAGTAAAACTACTACTACTTGTAGTTAAGCAGAAAGAAACTAGAGATTGAAAGAGGAAAATAACTTCAGTTATGGAACTTCAGGTACCTAATAATATAAATTCATAAATATAAAAATGGGCTGGAGTGATAGCACAGCAGGTGCTATGGGTGTTTGCCTTGCATGCAGCCAACAAGGCCGACCCAAGTTCGATTTCTCCACCCCTCTCGGAGAGCCTGGCAAGCTACCGAGAGTATCTTGCCTGCACGGCAAAGCCTGGCAAGCTCCCCGTGACGTACTCGATATGCCAAACACAGTAACAAGTCTCACAATGTTACTGGGCCCGCTCGAGCAAATCGATGAACAATGGGAGGACATTGACAGTCAAATATAAAACATCACCTGGTGCTTGAAAGAACAATAAAGAACCAAAAGGGGAAAGAACAAATTAAAAAGCAGTAATATAGAAGATTACAGTTTTTTAATTATAAAGTCACTTGATTTATGCATGTCTTTAAAATCATTGTATTTATAGAGTCTGTCGCTATTTTCCTTTGGGTTTGGGGGCCATGCCCAGCCATTCTCTGGGAGCACTTTCAGCAACACTCGGGGACTACATGGTGCTAGGGACCCGCACACAGCGCAGACACACCAGTGCTGGGAGTTATCCCTCTGGCCCTGCACAGTTTTATTTTTAGATGTCAGTATTTGAAGTACTGGGATGAGAGGAAAGGAGAGAAAATAAGTTAAAATTGTTTAACATATAGGACAGACATAGAAAGACTGCATTCATCTGGGGAACATAAAGTAACAAAATTGGAGACTAACACCCAAGAATAGCTGAGATAAGTACCAGGAGTTTTCCCCCATGTTTTGGAGGCCAGCCACACACGCTAGGGGAAAAGGCAGCTCAGATAGAGAAGGGAGCACCAAATAAAGGGTGTTGGGAGGATCCTCCCAGGATGGGAGATGCGTGCTGAGAGTAGACTTTAGACCGAACATGATGGCCACTCAATGGCTCTTTTGCAAACCACAGCACTCAAAAAGAGAGAGAGAACAAAAGGGAATGCCCTGCCACAGAGGCAGGGTGGGATGGGGGATCTGAGGGGTGGGAGGGATACTGGGATCAGTGGTGGTAGAGGGATGGGTACTCGATCATTGTATAACTGAAACCCAAGCACAAAAATTTGTAAGTCTACAACTGTACCTCATGGTGTTTCACTAATAAAAATTTAAAAATCAATAAATAAGTAAAATGCAAGTACTTCAGAATCCTAAAAAAAAAGTTTTTAACATATATCTTAAAGTGGGAGGGGGGGACAGGTTAAAAGGGATGTTCACAAATTGGTGATAAACCAATTCCTGCCCTTTAGATTGAAGGCGTGAAAGCTAAAGCTCGGGCCCTTTTCCCAAGAACAACTTCAAATACATCCCAAGAACCCTCAGGGAGGCTGGGAAAGTGCCAAAGGTATAATCAAGGGAGCGAGAGGGGTGTGAAAAGGATCACACTCCCTGGGAATGTGAGTCAGAGCTCATGTCTCTGCATTTATTTCAGGGGCTGGTGTGTAGTTCTGCACTTGCTTTGTAGCTGTGAGGACTCGGGTGTGACGCCCAGCATCAAAAACCAAAAAAAAGGAAAAAGACCCGCTCTCTTTATGTCTAAAATTCTGTGCAGGCCGTGCCAACGAGAGAGGCGGGTGAGTGTGTGCCCTTCACGTTTCTCTATTCCTGCTCCTACCGTAAGGGGATCTGAAGCTTAGACACACAGCCCACATCCCTCCAGCATCTCCGTGGCACCTGGCTAGAATGCAGGAAGTGTCTGTTGGCTACCTAAAAGCCAAACAGCTAAGAAGAAAAATGACGGGTGCGTCCCTGAAAGCACCCAGGGACGGGGCCATTCCCGTGGGACTTGGTGAGAAGGGAAAGGCACCCACAGGATTCAAATGAACAACGCTGGCCCGCTGAGTGTTTAAGCCAGGATTTCCCGAAGTGAACGGTGGTCCCCTGGGGGTGCTGAGGGGGGGCAGCCTGAGCCTTGGACGCAAGTGCAGAGACACTGTGTTTGCTTAAGGAAGCCGAGTCCCAGGACGGCCAGTGAGTCATCTCCTCTGAAAAGAGGGCAGTAGGCCAAATAAATCTGGAACTCTCTGGTTGAGACCGAGGATGATGGAGAAGAAGAGGTCGGTGCAAGAAGGACCATGGCCAGGGTGACCAGTGGGGCACGGGTGAGGGCCGCGGACAGCTCCAAGCAGGAAACAGGATGGGCTGTGTCCTTCTACGCTGCTCCGTCTCCCTGACAGGAGCACTGGAGGAACCGTCCACGGGAGAGGGGGCAACTCCAGGGCACAAAGAAACCGGCCGGAAAGACACACATTTATGCCCCCTCCCGTCGTGGTTGGTAAAGGAGACACGTACCATCGGCCGTGCATCAAATATTTGTGACTGGTGCTGTGGCGCAGGACCTCCTTGTGGAAGAGCTGGCAGGAGAGGAAGACCACCAGCGTGGAGACGGCCTCCACGGAAATGTCGTACGTGATGTCTCTGCAACGAAAGAAGGCCACCATTTTAGAAGATTCAGACATTGCTCCAGGGACCGTGGCGAGAGCACGGCGGGGAGGGCGCTGGCCTTGCACGTAGCAGACCAGGTTCGATCCCATAAGATTCCCTGAACACTGGCGGGAGTGATTCCTGAGTCAGGAGTAATCCCTGATCGTTGCTGGGTATGGCCCAAAAAATAAACGAAAGCTTGAAAGATGCTCAGGGATACTGCTAAGGACGATACACACTTAAAAATGCGAATGTTGGGGCTGGAGCAATAGCACAGCGGGGTGGGCGTTTGCCTTGCATGCAGCCGACCCGGGTTCGATTCCCAGCATCCCATATGGTCCCCTGAGCACCGCCAGGAGTAACTCCTGAGTGCAGAGCCAGGAGGAACCCTTGTGTATCACCAGGCGTGACCCAAAAAGCAAAAAAAAAAAAGAAACGAATGTAAATACTCAACACATTTGAGCATTTTTTCCCAACAGTCAGTATAAAATGAAGTCAGAGAAAAGCCTGAAACCCTTGCCCAACAATTAACTCTTGTGCTGGAGTCTCTTTCCTTTCTCTTTCTCTTTTTCTCTCTGTCTCTCTCTCTTTCTGTCTCTCTGTCTCTGTATCCCTCTTCCTCAATACACAGTGGTGCTCAGGCACTGCTCCTAGTTTGGAAATGCTGGGGGGGGGGGTCCCATCCATCCCATCCCTGTGGTGTCAGGATCAGTTCTGAGCCTCCCGCATGCAGATCCCGTGCCCTAGCCCTCTCCCCACACTAGGCACCCTGCCTCAGGAAAGGCCAAGTGTCCCCAAAGATTAGCACCTTCTGGCTGTGCTCAGGGCTTACTCCTGGCTCTGCATGCAGGGAAAACTGGGTGGCTCACAAGAACCGTTCAGGTGGGGTGCGGGGGACCGATCCGGGTCAGCACGCACAAAGCAAATGCCCTACCCACTGTACTGTTGCTCTGGTGCAGATCAGCACCATTTCGAAACAAATTTTAAATCAAATAAGAAAGTCTCAGCTGAACAAGGAGCTCGCAAAGAAATCAAGGGATCAAGAAATCTTGGATAACTGCAGACTATTTAAACACGCTTATCATGGAGAACGCAAATAGGATGTCAGACCAGGAATGCAGAAACTTGGAAACAAAGCAAAAATTTAATTTAATTAAAAAAAAAATAAAAAGAGCAAGGAGCTCGGGAGAGATTTCAAAGGCCCAGATTCAGTCTCATACCACATGGATCCTGGAGCACTGCCAGGAGTCACCCCCTCAGACCCAGCCGGGAGAAGCCCACGCACTGCCAGGAGTGGCCCAAAAAACAAACAAAAGGAATTAAAAAAAAATAAAATTCACCAAAAATTTTATTTAAAAAAAAAAAAGCAGAACTCCAAAAGGATATAAAAATATTTTTATAAAACTAAAATATCCACCATAGGTCCAAAGAAAAGTACTTAAGACCCACTTAAAAGAAGGCTCCTTAAATTAAAGATGACTTAATTCCCCTAAAACTGGGAAAATATGAATTCTACCACACACTCTAAGGAATTACTGCTGACAGGAGTTATCTCTGAAAGACTGAAAGACTCTTGGACGGAGCACTGACACTGTAGCTCGCTGGCACGGCTGAGGTCCCGGGCTTCATCCCGGGCACCACATGGCTCCCGGAGCCCACCAAAAGAGACCCCAAGAACCGAGCCAGGAGCAGCCCCAAGCACCAGTGGATAGGACCAAAAAGAAAAAATAAAGCAGGACACCAAAAAACAGCACGGGGGTGAAGGGTGACTGGGCGCGGGTGACCCGAGTTCAATGCCGAGTAACGAACATCGCCAGCACAGAGCAGGGATTAGCCCTGAGCACCACGGGTATGTTCAAAAACACAAAACAAACCAAAAAAAGCACTATAAAATGATTTACGTCCTGAAAAATCTATGTATTCTAAATATTAACCAGATTAAGTAGGGGTTTTTATATTCGATTTTTTTTTACTGAAGACGAACCTGGTGCTTCGTACCACGTTATAACTCGTTAATGATGTTTGGGTGCCTGGAACCCAAACGATTCTGCACCACCATAATCATGTATTCCTAGAGCCGAGGCTCTGCCGCTGGTTGGGCTTTTCCAGGGCTGGACAGGATAATTAATGCCTGCAAAGGAAAGCGGCGAGACCCATCCAGACTGGTCACAAGCCCCAATACATCTGCTGCTCTGTTCAGTTACTGCATCAACAACAAGGAATCGAGTGGAGTGGTTTTCAGTTTAGTATCTTTTCCTATGTCCCGGACCCAAAAATAAAAAATGCTGTAGAGGTCAGAAATTCAAGAATTTCTAGAGCACGAATTAGGGGTTCACAACTTACATCAGTTGACCTCAAGCCGACCTCCAGCACCACCTCAACCCCCAGCATCACCAAGTGCAGTTCTGGAGGCTTAAGAGACCTGGGCGGCCTGGGCCATAAACCCAACTGGCCAAGAATCACCAGGAGCAGCCCCAGGCCTACTAAACACCTTTTGCGAACACACCCATGCCCCCCCCCAAAAAATTGTCTGAACAATGAGATATCACCTCATATCACAGAGACTGACACGTATAAAAAATATATATATAAATAAAAAATAAAACCACCACCACCACAACCAGCGCTGGTACGGGTGCCACAGGAAAGGGGATAGATTATACTGGGGGAATATCAACGAGGCCAGCTTTTCTGGAAAAAAACATGAACGTTTCTTACAAACACAAGGAAGCATGAGCAGGAGAGTTAGTCCTGCAGGCAAAGCTCTTGCCTTGTTTCCAGCTTACCCATGTTCCCTGGAATCCCATACGGTCCTCCGAGCCTACCAGGAGTGATTCTTAAGTGTAGAGCCAGGAGTAACCCCTGAGCATCATCCAAAACACAACACACACACACACACACACACACACACACACACACACACACACACACACCACAAAACCCTTAGGAGCTGAGCTTCTATTTATCCCAGCCGAACCCTAAAATACAAAATGGAGAAAAGACTTTGCACCCCACGCTCCTTGTAGCACTATACACAAGAGCAAAACTTTGGAAATAAATCAAGTGTTCAGGAAGAGATGCCTGTATAAAGAAACGATGGCACATATACACAATGGAATATTACTTGGCCATAAGAAAAGATCACTGTATCACTGTCATCCTGTTGATCGTCAAATTACTTGAGCGGGCACCAGTAATGTCTTTATTCCTCCCAGCTTTGAGATTTTAGCAGACTCTTCTCACTTGTCTTTTCTCAATGATTGGAGGCTCTTTCAGGGTCAGGGGAATGAGACCTGTTGTCGTTACTGTATTTGGCATATTGAATATGCCACAGGGAGCTTGCCAGGCTCTGCCCATAGGGCAGGATACTCTCAGTAGCTTGCCGAGCTCTCCAAGAGGGGGATATATATATATATATATATATATATATATATATATATATATATATATATTCTATGATTTGTTGCTAACTGTCTGAACCCCATCAGATATGGTGTAGTAATTTGTATAAACACAAAAAAGGACGGGCAAGGGGGACGGCAGCGGCTTATCTCTCCTGCCACCTGCGTTCGGTGGTCTCAGGCCGTTTCCGTTTCCCCACTCCAGGGAGGTCGATGGCGATGGTCAGGCGAAGGAAGGAACGAGGGCCAGGCTGGTTGGTCTTAGCAGCAGTTTATTACAGGGAAGAGATGTATGTCATGGAAGCCCCAGGATCTCTCAAGCACGTGCTCCTTTGTTCTCTAAGCTTCTGTCCTCAGCCCCATCTTCCCAGGTTCTCTGATGCACGTGTCCCCCAGAGAGCCCTGAAATCTCCCTTATATAGATCATAGTACCTCTAAAGGGCGCAATATAGTGATGTCATCAAAAGGAGTTACAGATAAAACATTGAGGCAGCAAACCATACATTGTTTCTTTGTATCAGCAGGCCAGTAATCCTGGCCTCACCTTTTACAAACTACAAGCACTTGGATTAGCACATCAAAGATCAGTCTGCTAGAGCTTGGAATCTACATCTCCAAGATCAGCCTGCCTGGAGCCAGGCATCTACATCCCAAAGATCAGGCCTGGCTTAGCACCTGGGATCTGCAAGACCAGCTAGGTTCCTGTGAGATAAGGGAAACTGCCTCAATATACTGAAATCATTTACTGAAGGCAGTTTGAAGGGGAGAAAGTTCAGTCTCGCCCAAGCTAGTCAGGACACACAGGAAAACTGCTTCTAGAACAGATCAACCCACCCTAGAACAGATTTCCCTGGATGTGTTTCTCCTCTCCTTGTCCGACCAACATATAAGCATACATAATATAAATCATTTTGTATGGACACAGTAAGAAATACTTTGAGCTTATAGAATTGCTCTCCTAGGGCCATCTCGATCTCAGACTGCAGTGCTCAGGCCAGATATCTTTCCTATCCCTAGCAGCAGGGTCCTAGTCTTGTCGTTACTTTTGGATCATGACAGCATTTGCCTATAATCAAACTCTTAACCTATAGTTAAGAATCGTGGCACCTTGGCCTGGCCCATCGCGATGCCAGGGTAGCACATAACTTACCGGCTTGCCCTGGTTCCATCCAGTCCCACGTCGGGACCCTGCCGTTGGAGTGCTAGGAAGTGAGGGCAACTGAGGCTTAAGTTGAGAAAGCAGATGCCCAGAAGTAAATAATATTCAAAGCCAATTAAGTCCTAAGATATAAAGCATAATATTGTCTTCCTGTATCTATACAAAAAGGACATTGCATTAAAGTAAACTACTCAAAAGACATAAGGAGAGGAGAAAGGCAATATTAACTTACAGTACAAGTTCAGTGTCCTAGAAGGATGAGACCTTACAAATTGGTTGGGGAGGAGAGCATAGAAGTGGTTACAGACAAACAAAATAATGGGAGTGACTCGGGAGCACTATGATGGGTGCAACCTGATAAACCTAAGATCCTTGTACTCCAACAGTAATTGTGGAAAATGAGTAGGAAGTGTCTTATAATGTCTTATAACGTG